AAGCAGGTCAGTTAGCTCATCGTGACGAATTCAACAAGAATTGTTTACGATGGTTTCCAGGGGGAACCACGCGGAGGTCGACCTAATAAGGCATGTCGCTAGCAATGGGGCTGTCAAACTCCATTGCTAACAATCCCTTTCCCCCTTTATGCTGTATAGTCCTGGCATAGTATGAGCCACTCTTTCCGTAGGTGTCGTAAAAGGCGTATAAAAGAACCTAACATTCGAGAGATGGGCAGAAGCGTCTCTCTTAAAATCTCACCAAAGCCTAACTGCGGTTGCCAACCCGCCTGCCAAACGTGGCAACTACTGGCAACCCATTGACAAAGCAGTGTTAACTTAAAATAGGTCTGTACAAGGAGTAGTTTAGTTTTTATAAGGGGATTACAGTTAAAATAAACTATTTGTATTTTTTTTATTTAAAACTAAAAGAATCATAAAGACTTTAACTACAATAAATCTATCGGCAGGATCGCATTAATTTGTGAATACAATGTCTACATATTCAGATTTGCTGTAACAGCCATACAAACATTATTTGCCTTTACAGCTCGCCCACCGTGCATGTACTTATTTGACACCGTTCGATTGAAAATAAACAGCGATTACACTGCCGGCCATTATAATGCGAAACAGTTAATTTATTTTATTTCCTACTTTTTTTTGACACTTATTGTTGTGAATATATTAATTTGAGGATTGCATCTTACTAAAGTGTTGTCAAAGTACCTGCCAAACGTGACAACTACTGGCAATACTTCTTTTACTGGGAATTATGTTCAGCAGTGGACAGTTAAGGGCTGAAGTGATGAAGGTAGGTATGATAAGTGCAGTATGTATGTAAGCTGCGACTTGTGTATAAATGTATCGTCAATCGATTTAACAAAGCGCTTTTTAATTCGGTTGCATTTTTTTTTATGTTTAGAAAACTTTTTTTTTTCTAAAATGATATCAAATCATACTTTTTTATGAAAATCGGTTCCGCAGTTTAGTTCTTAAATCAAAATATTTATTTGTTATTGTACCTTCCTATATGTATTTGTAATAAAAAATATTATATCTATTTAATACTCGTAATAATAATTATATACTCAAATCTCGACTTTTATTCGCCTATAAGAAGAGTTCAAATTGGCCTATCCGTATCCGTCTTTGTTTACGTCCGCGTGCGTGCGTGCGTGCGTGCGTGTGCGTGTGCGTGTGCGTGTGCGTGTGCGTGTGCGTGTGCTGACTTACTGAGCGTACTTATTTATTTATTCTTACATATATATGAAATATACTATATTATACACAAAATTAAGAATAATATAAAGTACTTACTGCTCGGATAAAGTAAAAAGGTGAACATGAACGTTTTTTATTGAAAGACGGTTTAGACGAAGCTAAGGGATATAATATATATAGGATACAGTATCATAAAAAAAAAAACTAAATCTACTGACTGTAAATTGTTGACCGTTGTCCGCATGTGTACCGCTTATTTATAGGGCGTGTATTTAGATGGATTTAGTTCACAGTGTGTTTATTGGTGTAGTTAAACCCGCCAACACCAGAGAATCTATGGGTTTAACTGTCAGATGTAAGTAAATATTTACATTATATGAATTTGCATATTTGTGTCACTATTGGCCCATCTAAAGACAAATCTTTAAATATCATCTTTGTGATGTATTTTTTTTATGCAATTTAGAATACCAGAGGGAGACTTTGTACGAAAGTCAAAGTTCTAAGTTGCATAAAAAAAGCCAAACAAACTGACGGCCCACCTGATGGTAAGCGGGAACCGTCGCCTATAGACATGAACAGTACCATGGACATAACAGAGAATACTGTTTTGCCCATGATACTCCCAAATCCATTTCTGAGGACTCAGGTGTTATTCCTCTGTACCCTGTAAACTGTCATATCACCCTTCAAACCGAAACACAGCAATGCAAACATACTGCTTCACGGTAGAAACACGAATGGGACAGAGATGTCCAAACGTACGATTTTTGTACATAAGTCGAGAGACATTGTAATTTGGACTTGGTCAGAATAACAGACGAACCTACGAGCTATCATATAAATTAGGATAAGCTAAAATGGAACGCTTTTTGTATATTGCTCCTTTGAGGGCAAAGCGATAAACTGAGTTGTGACCATTTTGTGTCCCTATGCACGAAAGGAAAAATTGATATTTATTTTATGTATTCTCCTTTTTTGTATATGTATTTTTTTTAAACCATAGAGGTGGCAAATATGTATATGGCCCACCTGATGGTAAGTGGTTACCGTAGACAATGAAAGCCTGCAATACTAGGGGCATTACGCGCGTGCTACCAACCCTGAAGAAACCTCTTTACTCCTTCTTAGAACAACCCCATGCTGTAGTTTCTTGCTCACTCCATAACATGAGCGTTCGTGAGAGAAAACATCTCTGAAACCGCTCTGTACGCGATCATATATGCTCTAAGGTATGAGGGTGAATTCTCTATCTATGGCGAGCTGTACGATAGTGGAAAGTCAATGTGGGCCTCATATTGCACGTTTTTTGAGTATTTATTTACGTTTGTTGTTATTTATGTGCTGTAAGTACCCGTAACCGGCGAGCGTGTATGAAAAGATTGATGAATGTAGAAGAAGCGAAAGAGGTTTGTTTGAATCGAAGCATTTGTCGTTCCATTGTTTCTGCCTACCCTAATGGGAGACAGGCGTGACGGATATGTATGTATGTATGTATGTGCTGTAAGTAAAGCAAATAAATTATTATTTACCTATCTATCATTTAGGTGAATTCGCGAGCGGCTATTAGTGGAGAATTAAATATAAAACTCAATTTATAGATAAAATTAAAATAACACCATAAACTAAAATGACGCCGCGTGCACATGATTGAATGCCGGAATACCATTCGGACCAATATATACCATAATTACTTGTACGCAGGGACGTTTGGATTTACGATAAAAACAAGCGTAATAATATGCAATTTTGCATAATTTCATCAAATTGCTACTTCTCGGTGTAGTTATTCTAAACAATCTTGACGTGACGTCATAATACAGTATATTGGAACCCGTCATTATATCCCCCAAGTTGATACACGACGTCATTATATGACAGGTATGTTTAAGTGTCCAACGCGTGGTTTAACATGTAATTTCGAAGGGGAGTTAATACTGAAACAGCAATGTATTCGATGCGATGAGGATATCGCCGGCGGCACGTGACTCTGTGGTGGGTCCGTCGCTCGTATGCACATACTCTCATCACACATTACACAAATTGCAGTGCGCGGTTGTGTACAAAATACGTAGTGTGCATTCTGAGCTTGTGTAACTTTTACGTGTTCTGTGCTTTTCTTTGTAGATAGCTAGTCATATCATGTAAACAATTATTAAAGAAGTATAGAATTCTTTAGAATTCCACCCTAACGCTGACAATTGTGAATAATATTACGTGAAGTAATTAAAATTGTCGCCAGATGGCGCTGTCAATACAATGCACATATAAATGAACTATTTCACAATTCGTGTAAATAAATAATTAAATATTTTTTTTATTACAGATTACTATGATCTATGATTAATTTTGACCCAAAATAGGTACATCGGGCTGTCGTACATATTATATACTTTCAAAATGCTGTTACTGCTGCCATAAAGTCGGTGTAACAGAGACATAAGGGGGAGGGGGGGGGGGGGAAGGGATTGTCAGTAATGTAGACTGAGAATTCCATTGCTAGCAATATACCCAACCAGATCGATCTCCTCGCGGTTCTCCCTGAAAACTGTCATGGTTAATTCCTGATGAATTTATTATGATGGGCTAACTGGCCTGTTTTCATTCTCATCTATCACCCTTCACTGGTGCTCCGCCAGCGTATCCCGTTAGCGCAGGCGGGGTTTTTTTTTTTTTTATAAATTATGCATCTTTTATTTATTATTAAAGTCTGTGGTCAAATTGAGAATAGATTAATATTATTTGTCTATAGCATTACTGAATGTCAAACATAACCATAATAAATTAATTTATTACAATATATGTTATGGTCGAATTTCGACCACTGGGCGACCACTGGTTTAATATTATTATGGATGTTGGCCGTTATTGAATAAGAAGCCATAAATTGGGTTTAACGATTTCACATGATATTCGAAACACGATCTTCAAATTCTTCGAATTGAATGATTCCTTTGTAAACTTCATTATAAATAATTATTGGATAATCTACCAATTGTACATGTCAGAATTACGAGTAGTTTAATTGAGAAATTATAGACAAGACCGGTACTTACCTAGTTTGTTGTGCTTGTACTTGGTTGCTTGAAATGTAAGACGTAAACTGGATTTGTGTACATAGAGTTTATTATACTTTAAAAATTAGTTATTAAAATAAAATAAAAAAAGAAATAATATATTTTTTAAAATTTTGTATCGTTTAAATAAGTTCATTTAGTTTAAGTATTGAATAACTAAAAAAAATTAAAAAAAATGTGATTAATGTTTTTTATATGTTTTTCTTTTATTCAAAATTAAAAGTAAAATAGTAATGTCATTATATAATTGTGTATTCTTCATTATTATGTTGTTTTCTCACATGTAACATGTATAATTTATATAATTTTTCTTAAGAGCAATTGTATTTAACTAATGATATCATTTAAATGTAAGGTTTGTTTAGTGCATGTGTAAATAAATAAAAAAATAAATAATGTGAATTTTAATTGAGTAGAAATCAAATATACTTAGTTATACACTGAGTAATATAAACATTATATCTATCAACTCAGTTGGGTATTAAAGTACTTACTGAGTGATTACAATCCACAACATCTTGAAGAAAATGAAATTTTTATAATTATATTCAATGTTCCGGCCTACAACAACCTGACCTTTATCTTATATTAAACACATCCATAAAAAGTTTACAAATTCACAATAAAGACATAAAAAAATGTCTATAAATATGTAAATAACGCCAGCTAGCGGAGAATATAATTACTATTTTTACTTACCGCTACAGCCAGTTGTGTTGAGGTCGTAATATTCGGGAAGGCACGTGTCACAAGATGGCGGCGCTGCGCCGGGTGCGCACACGCAGGCGCCACTCTTGCCGTCACACGCACTGTGTATCGCAGCCACGCCGCATCGGCACGGTGGACAGCCTTCTTCTATGCCTAATTAATTACAATCTATTAGATTAGATGCATGATAGTTTTCTTTTTTTTTAATGGGTGAAAATGGTATGGTAACCCCGCCTGCGCTAACGGGATACGCCGGCGGAGCACCAGTGAAGGGTGATAGATGAGAATGAAAACAGGCCCGTTAGCCCATCATGATGAATTCATCAGGAATTAACCATGATAGTTACCAGGGAGAACCGCGAGGAGGTCGACCTGGTTGGGTATATTGCTAGCAATGGGATTCTCAGTCTCCATTACTAACAATCCCTTTCCCCCGATGCGTAGTTGTAGTAATAATAAAATTGTACTTTTTACAATTAGTCTAGTTCGTGGTTCGTCACCCTCGGAAAACTGAGACAGATATTCAGATTTACGATATCTGTTCTATACCCAATTACATTATTTTAAATACATATATGGGACATAATTATTATATGAGTATTTTGTAAGTTGCAATACGATACAATCAGTCACACTAATAATATTTTTAGAATATAAATTAGAAAATAACTTAATCAATAAAAAAAAGTTATAAAGCAATGGTGACCTCCATGTCCGGGTGCGCAGACGTCGCAGGCGCGGCCGGCCCAGCCGTGGCGGCACGCGCACTGGCCCGAACGCGCGTCGCACGCCGCCGCCAGCGCGCCTGCACCGCACGCGCACGCCACGCACGCACCCGAGCCCACGCTCGCACCCATGCCGCCGCTCGGCCCGAACCAGTAGCCCTCCTGAATAATTTTCAATTAAAAATACACCTTCTCCGATGGGTATTTAGTTATATTTTCCTTACTCTAACAATCCAAAAAATATATTTTTGTACAACTTAGAATGGTCAAGAAGTAGACAGCCCATTTGATGGAAAGTGGCAACCATAGTATAGACATATACAACTATAGACATGAATAGTATCATGGACATAACAGAGTAACTATATTGTGTTGCCCATGGTACTTATTATGTATTGCTGAGGACTAAAATATTATGCCTCTGTACCCTGTAATTTCATTGTCATGCCCTACCTTTCAAATCGAAACACAGCCATGCAAACACAACAGCTCCACTCTAAAAACACGAATTGGTCAGAGGTACCCAAGCGTACGACTTTTATACAAAGGCTTCCTCAAAACATCATGTCTCATTGGTGATGATGGGTTCCATTCCCTCATCAGCAATTCCGCATTAACAATCCGGTTACGATACCCAAATGATCGGTCATTACGTCGACGGAACATTACAGAGTGCTTGCGTTTGACATCTGATTACTTTGTGCTCGTCGATCTGTAACACCATGGAACGTTTTGTTATATCTGGAGTCGGGTTAAATACTTTAAGTACTTTTATTATAATTTTATATGTTAGCACACTAGTTTTATAACATTGATTTAGCTTTTGCTGTCATAATGTTGCAGTTATTTTTAATAAATAAATAAAATGATATGTCACACTCGACAGGTGAACTGCATCGATTGCACGCATCGGTGAGCACTTATACGATCGAAGATCGACGACTAAAAATACGTTAAACATGGCATTAACGTTAAGAACGTTAGTGCGTACCTCGCAAGTGTCGCAGCGCGCACCCTCAGTGTGTGGCGGACACACGAGGCACTCGCCAGTGTCGGCGCGGCAGGGCGCACCTCCACACTCGCAGGGTCGACACGCGCCCCCAGGTTCCGTGGGCGCGCCCCAGTGTCCGGCATCGCAGTGCTCACAGTGTTCGCCTGTGTATCCGTCCGGGCACTGTGTGCAAACGTACTCGTCGCCCGACGCGGACGCGAGCACGCAGTTCGGGCTGAAGTTGTTCGACGGGATGTACAGAGGGCACGCGCACGGCTTGCACGCTCCCTGAGTAAACGTAATTTATAAAGTTATTGATATTTCCAAATTTGTAGTAATTTATAACGTGTAGGGGCTATTCTTTTGCAAGCACCTGGATAATGACTACAATCCTTTTAGTCGTATTTCATTATTGCAGGCATATGTAAATGCGTGTTATAATGTTATTGACGTGTGGTTCTGGCATAGAATAGGGCACTCCTTCCTTTCCCGTGGGTGTAGTAAGAGGCGACTAAGGGAGGGCGAGAGATGGGCAGCAGTGTCTCTCTTAATACGTCTCTGTAGCCTACCTGCGGTTGCCAATCTGCCTGCCAAGCGTGGCAACTACTGGCAAAACTCCCCAAGTGGGAGTTTAATGGTCGAGGGATGGGCAGTAATTTTTTTCTCTAAAAGCCAATCTGCGATTGCCAAGCGTGGCAGTTACTGGCAAAATCTACTCAATAGTAAACTGCCATAAGGAACAGATCCGTTCATTATGGTCTACGGGTACAGTTTGTGGGGGAGGCCTAAGTTCAGCGGTAGACAGATAACAGTTGATATGATCATGAATTAAAGTTGTTGAGAGTGTAGTTAATTTGACAAAGACTTAACCAAAGTTACAGGTCATAATTCAAATCTTCAGAATAAGATTGGTAATTACATACCTGTACAGGGTTTCCATAGTGCCCTGGTAGGCACCGTTCACAGTGTGGTCCCGTCGTATTGTGTTGACAGGGACCGCAAGGACCGTCAACTATAAGGAGTAAAATTATCAATATGTAGAACTATTATTATTATTAAGTATATAAGTGTTTTACAAACAAAAAATCTAGCTAAAAAGTCTGGCTAGAAAAAGACTACTTGGCAAAAAGCTGTGCTTACTAAGCCATGTTTTGGTTTGAAGGATGACGTTTTCGTTCTCAGGAATGATAGCGCATGAGTGTTCTGTGGTATTCATACCACAATACCAAAGGGAGAGTTGTTTGCTTTGGCACCTCTGTTCCATTCGTGTTTCTACCGTGAGTTGTTTGCATGGCTGTGTTTCGGCATGAAGGGTGCGATGTGGCAGTAAATTTACAGGGTACAGAGAAATAACACCTGAGTGCCCAGGAATGGCAACGCATGGGATGTATCATGGGCGAAATAGTATACTCTGTTATGTCCATGGTACTGCTCAAGTTTATAGGCGACGGTTACCACTTTCCATCAGGTGGGTTAGCTTATTTGCCATTCTAAGATGCATAAAAAAATCATTGTGCTGCTCGTCTCTGTTAGATTTGTCTTCGATCATTCTTGAGTTGTATTTGTAATGGTGTAGTATGTGTCGGCGGGCGCGGTACCGGTGTCGCAGTGCGCGTGGTGGTTGCAGGCGCAGGGCACGCATTCGAAGCGCGGCGTAGCGTGCGGCGCGTGCAGCAGGCGCGCGTGCCCCCAGGCGCAGCGCGAGCAGTGCGCGCCGCCGTAGCCGCGCGGGCACGCGCACGCCTCGCCCGCCGCCCGCGACCCCCGCGCCGCCCCGCGCACCTCCGCGCCCTCCAGCCGGACCTGGCGGGCCCCTCTGGTCCAGTCAATGTCTCCACTTCAACGTGTTAACATCGACAAAAATGTCGACTCATATATAGTATTAACATATACACACTGGGAGGAAAGGGATTGTTAGTAATGGAGACTAAAAATCCCATTAGTAGCAATATACCCAACCAGGTAGATCTCCTCGTGGTTCCCCCTGGAAACCATCGTGAATAATTCTTGTTGCATTCGTCACGATAGGCTAACTGACCTGCTTCATCCTCGCCTATCATCCTTCATTGGTGCCCCGCTGGTGTATACTGATGGCGCGGGTGGGGTTACCATTCTATTATCGTCCATTAAAAAAAAAAGTCCTCTATGATCAACCTCACACATCAAGTTATACAAATTTATATATGAAAAAATAAAGAAATACAATGTGGATGGTTCAGTGCAGACCTCGTCCTGGTCGAGGTGCAGGTGCGCGCGCAGCAGCAGGCGGCGCACGTCCCGCAGCACGTCCATGAGCTGCGCGCGCGACGCCGTCCACTCCTCGCCCGCCGCGTACCACGCGTCTTCCTCCAGGGGGACCGAGATCTCCAGCTGCCCGGCCGTCTCGTAGCTCGTGTTCGCTGATGTTAACTTTGTGCCATCTGCAAGAAAAGTAATATAATAATATGTAAATCATTTTCAACCGACTTCAAAAAAGAAAGACCTTTACAGAGAGCGAATTGTAATCCGTTTGTACATTTTTCTTTATGTTTGTTTACTCGTATCTCACAACTCCCGCCATTTGTAAAACAATTTGGAAAATTCTTTTTTTTATCTAAAAATTAAAGTGGACGTCTCTGTATACTGTCTGTACCTACGTGATTCAGAGATGATTGTGTTCTGACGAATTGTTTGAAATAATACCTACAGCCACCTTTTATAATCACATCGCTCGCCATCGACAGGGAATTCATCCTTACACGCTTCAACCTAAACAATCACGTGCAGCTTCAAAGAAATTTTCTCCCGCGAACGCTTACGCTGTGAAATGAGCTCGCTGCCGAGGTTTTCTCTTTCAGAGATTATGGTATGGAGTTCTTCAAAAAGGGTATATTAAGATTTCTTGAAGATCGGCAATGCGCACGCGACTTCTTTTGTGTTGCTAGTATCCATAGGCTACAGTGACATTTACCATCGGACGGGCTGTATGCTTGTTTGCCACCTTCGTGGTATGAAAAAAAAGAATTATAGCATTTATAATTCTTTATTCGTTACAATATGAAAAATCTATAGAAGAGATGAAAAAATATGGAAATAACTTGTAATAATATATATAACTGGATGTACCAGATATATAACTGATTCATCAGAGGGAGACGTTGTACAAAAGTCGATTTGCTTGGGTACCCATTCGTGTTTCAACCGTGAAGCAGTTGTGTTTGCATGGCTGTGTTTCGGTTTGAAGGGTGGGATATGGCGTGAATTTACTGAGTACAGAGGAATAACACCCGAGTCCTCAGGAATGGCAACGCATGGGGGTATCATGGGCGAAACAGTATACTCTGTTATGTCCATGGTACTGCTCATGTCTATAGGCGACGGTTACCACTTTCCATCAGGTGGGCCGTCAGCTTGTTTGCCATTATAAGTTGTATAAAAAAAATGTTTTAGGGCAGTAAAGAATATTATATAAATAAAAACTTACTCACCAGCACCGATCAGTATGATATCAGGTCCAACAGTAGGATTCCCGCCGGTGTCCCCTCGAACTATGCCTAAGTTGAGGGTGGCATGGATCTCACCGCCGTACATGGAAAGTTGCTCACCGTTCCAAGAGTCAGTAGCCCAGTAGAACGACTCCCAGCCTTCCACCTGGTGAACGAAATTGTTTTAGTTTATTAAAATCAGAGGGAGACTTGATATAAAAGTCATTGGACGAAAACGGAATGGTTACTTTGCCCGCGTCTTTGATATACATTGACGGAGTAAATATATAGAATGATATAATAATATGATATGATGGAACAAGATGAAATCAAGTCAGTCGGTCCATCGAGATGAATTCTACTACGAGGATTTCCAGAGAAGATCGCGTGACGTTTGACTTGGCAGAACATAGCAAGAAGCCGAGGCGAGAAGAGATTGCTAGTTAGTAATGGGGACTAGCGATTCCATTGCTAGCAATATGCTTATCAGATCAAACTCATAATGGTTAATTGACCTGCTCATTCTCATCTATCATCCCTATCTGGTGCCCCTCTAGCATACACCGATAGTGTAGGCGAGGTTATCATTCTATTTATCATCCTTAAAAAAATACCCCATTTCTAAAAATCCCTTTCCTGCTCGGCATAAAACTCATTGGCAGATCGGATATTTCTATTCCATTCATGTTTTTGCTTCCTATAAAATTGTGATTGCATGCTATGTTCCAGTTTGAAAGGCGAATATAATGGTTACTCAAGATCTTTATAACACAAAGGTTGGTGACGTGCGAGTGATACCCATATTGTAAGCTTTAATAGTCTGCAATAGTTGCCGTGTGGTTCCGGCATAGAATAGTCCATTCTTTCCATTCCCATGGGTGTCGTAAGAGACGACTAAAGGAGGGCGAGGGATGAGTAGCAGCGTCTCTTTTAAAACATCTCCAAAGCCTAACTGCAGTTGCCAATTCGTCTGCCAAGCGTAGTAACTACTAGCAAAACCTTCTAAGGGGAAAGGCTTATGTTCAGCAGTGAACAGTTAAAGGCTGATATGATGATGATGATGATGAATAGCTGCATACTTACCTCATAACTAATCAAGTACGGTTTCCCTTGCTCGTCAATGGATGCTTGTAATGTCTGGTTGCCTTCAACGTCGCTTACCAACCATGCATCTCCCAGGGGTAACACTACCTAAAAATTATGCAGTCAAAAATCAGTTTCCGATAAAATCTACTCGTTCATCGATTGTTTATGGAATGGCATTCAGAATAATGTATTGTTGCGTTGCCAATTCTTGATTTAAACTTGGCTTTGACACGCTGTCTGTATATCTAGATAAAAATGGATGAAACAAGACGAATGCCATAACGATGCTTTTGAATCTAGTTGTAGAAGCTGTAAAATCAGACAGAAAAGAGATATGTACATTATAAAATCTTCCAAATTTGACTCTGTTATCCAAATCAAGATCCACAAAATATTGACAACCTATCAGATCACAATGTGTACCGCTGAGTTTTAGAATTTTCTTTAAAGTTCTTCTAAGTACTGACCGGCGGCAGTGGATCGGAGGGTTCAGCAGCCACGCATGAGTCAGTGATGTGGGAACAGTAGCACGGACGACAACCGCTTGCTAGCTCTGCACTCAGCCCGTAATGTCCGCTCGCACAAGTGTCACATCGCTCGCCTACCACGTTTTTCTGCAAAAATATATATAAAAAATTTAAAGGTGAATATAGAATTATGACTTCGCCTGCGTTTGAATTACACTGACGACTATTAACAATGAAGAACGAAAACAGATTGTCCATGGTACTGCTGACTGGGCCGTTAACCCATCATGATTAATTCGTCGACAAAATTAGAAAAAATTAGGTATTCATCTTCTTAAAGGATTTTACTAACACTCGAATAATGAATCTTAACAACTGTTCCTAGAGAGCAAGATGTTAATATATATGAAAGTCATTTCTTGGATTTTTTTTATTAAATTCCTTCTTGGGCCATTACATTTGTTAAATCATTATTCAATCAAGGCCGATGTTCACTGCTGATCATCAGCCTTCTCCATGGACTGCCAAAGGGAGCGATTCTGAGCCATCCTCCATGCACTGACTTCCCGCAATGCATTTGAAGTCGTTACTCCATCTAGTAAGGGGTCATCCTACGCTGTATATTGGGTCGCCAATCAAAAACCTTTCTTCGAACGGTGGTCAATCTTCGAACTATGAGACCAGCACATTACCATTTTAGCTTGCTTATACTTCAAACTATGTCGGTCACTATGATTCTTTAGCGGATATACTTATTTCGGATTCTGTCATGTAAAGAAACTCGGAACATAGCTCTCTCCATAGCTCGCCGAGAAATTTGAAGCTTTTGCATACGGGGCTATCTGTAGGACCATGTTTTGGTTCCATAGGTCGTACAGTTTGGTTCCATAGTTTTCCAAACGTTTGTTAAATATGTGACTTCCCAAAATCCAACTGTTACTACAAATATTGTTTTGCCTTAACTAATTTATAAAAGGATGAGCTTCAGTTCCTTACCTTGCACTCACAAACTTCGTCACATACTCGCGTTGGATCCACTATACCCCTGGGGTCACATTTGCATTTCGGTACAGCAGTAGTTGTTATTGGTAGACAGGCAGGAAATACAGCAGAAGAGTCCTTGCAAGCATCGCAGTGGGGTCCGGAGAACCCTGGCCGGCAGTCACATAGTGCTTGGCGATGCTTTCTGTTCCATTTACATGTACCTGTAAATTAACATAAGGATATATCATTGTTGGAGGAGTAAAATAGTGGAACTAAATCGACATCATAATCTTCAAGAAAAGAGCATATTCCTTTTCAAAAGGCTAGCAGCACACCTGCAATGTCGTTAGTGTTGTGGGTGATCCTGGGCGGTGGTAGTCACTTATCATCAGGTGAGCCACATGCTCGTTTGCCCCTTGTGTTATAAAAAAAAGTTGAACAATCCAAATTAATATAATTGTCCTCTCTGTTCATTCTTACTAATGGAACTAGGTTTTTAGTTCGTTTTGTTCTACTAGGAGAACAGAACAGATTTTTTAGTTGGTTCTGTTCTACTAGTAGAACTAAATCGTAGAACAATATGGATATAATCACTTTTGCTAAGTAGGTAAGGATGCATTAAATTACTGTCAACGTGAGAACGCCATTTTATTATTGTAAGAACTGGAAGGTTTTCAGAGGAGACTGCGTGGAAGTCGACTTGATTGTATAAGTACATCACTAGTAATAAGGTAGCTGGACCTTCTTAATTATACGCTCCCAGTATCTTTGTTTTATGTATATCTCTGAGTCGAAGTAGTTTACATGTTGTTCTGATTTCACAGATGAGATATGGCAGGGACATTATTAAGTCCAGATCTTTTTTCTCTTTATTCTTTTAACTCTCTTTATCTTTTTATTCTTTTAACTCGTGAGCAATGCATCTACTTCTAGTTAAAAGTGGTTGGCTGGTTATGGCTAAAACTTTTATTGATGGATAAATTTGCCACTTGCCTAGGAGAATTAACGTAGAGTAAGTGTTTAAGAGATGCAGTAGCCACTTATCACGATGGCTGTATATTTCATGCTATCTTTGTTGCATAAAAAAATAGATATGCAATCAATTTAATCCAATAGAATCTGTTATAACGATATATTTATGAACTAGAGTAAATTACCTTTAGAACCTTCTGGATCGCATTCGCAAGGTAGGCACGGTCCATCTGGTAAGGCGTTGTAGTATCCGACAAGGCAACGATCGCATAACGGACCTGCGCGATTTTCCTGTAATAATAAAATTGATACTTTATAAAAAATATTTATTCGTAGTCTATGCTGCTCTGCTGTATGATAAACCATAGATTGATGGCTAACCTCAAGCACCTGTATTAACTTCTTACGATCATTGGTTGTACTTTTATAAAGATTTTATAAAAAAACAGAAGTGAAATTTTTGGCATAGTGCTTTAGATCGCATCCACCAATTTTTTTTTTTTTTGTAGAAAATTTAGATATTCAGAGACCTAAATTCTTGTTTAAGAAGAAACTATGAAACTATTAACTACACACTAAATCCCCGTAGTGTGATTAAAACTCTAGATCAGTATGTATTTTTTTAATCGAATTGTCTACCAAAGTTTTTGAAGTAAGTAAAACAATACGTAATAAATGCCTCTGAGTAGCAAGCATTCATGATAATTCATGTCTTTTTGATATTCTTAATCAAAAACATAGGACTCGTAAAAGGAATTTCCATTTATGATGCCACTCCACAACAAGCTCCAGGTCTTCCCAACTGAGACTAGTCAACGAAGTCTTGTGCTCAACTGTTTTCTTGCCACCTACTTCTCACTCAAGACTCTTCTTAGATATAAGACTGTCTGGTTTCCGAAAAGCATGCCCATAGACTATCATCTGTTTACCGTCTGTCAGGCCGTATACTCATTTCAGTAGTTTAAAAGAATATTAACAAATGTCAAGGCATTTCCATTTGCTTCGAAAAGCAATGTTTTTACAACACAGGGGGCAAACGAGCATGCGGCTCACCTGGTGGTAAGTGACTACCGCCGCCCATGATCACCCACAACACCAACGGCATTGCAGGTGTGCTGCCGGCCTTTTAAAAAGGAATATGCTCTTTTCTTGAAGGTTATGTTGTCGTATTGGTTCGGAAATACTGCTGCTGGAAGTTGATTCCAAAGAGTGGTTGTGCGTGAAAGAAAGTGCCTTGAAAAACGCACAATTGAGAAGAAAAATAACCAGAAACACTAACCGTACAATTGACGCATACTATAGCGCCAGTGTCATCGTAGGTGCACGCGCCCCGCTCTCCGCACGTGCAGTCTGGTTGTAGTCCGCATGGCACACCAGCCGACCACGTGCCGCCTGAGCAGCATCGCTCGCACTGCGCACCGCAGGTGTCGTGCTCGCATGAGCACTTAGCACCCTGCTCAATGCACAGACAAATCTTCATAAGGAAAATAGGAATTAGTAAGATCACAGCATGAACGAATGTGGAAAACTGCTACCGCAATTCTGGTTAAATTATATTCAGAGACAGAAGGAAGGGAAAAAAAGAAAGACTCACATTGACATTTATTCTTCTCTTATTCATCGAGTAAACACATTTGCTATTAAATTATTTAGAATTTTACGGGTAAATCTTGCGTAAGAAATAGAGGGAGTGGGAAGGAATACGTCCTACATTCTGAGTTTCAGAGGCAATAAAAAAAATTTCAGCCAATTGTGTTCTTAGAGCTATTACATAACTATTGCAGCTTTTTGTGCATTACAGAAAAACAATTCAATAGAATTTTAAACAGAAAAACACCATAGTTCTCAGAAATGAACACGCATAATAGTACAATAAGCGTTCTGCTATATTAATGATGTTTTTCATGCTATGCGACAGTTTAGTAATTGGTACTTCCCATCGGGAAAGTTCCCTTGGGAAATAGTACATTCTATCATTATCTAGCAGAGGGAGACTTTGTACAAAAGTCGATTGCTTGGGCACCTCTGTCCTATTCGTGTTTCAACCGTAAATCAGTTGTGTTTGCATGGCTGTGTTTCGGTTTGAAGGGTGGGATATGGCGTGAATTTACTGGGTATAGAGGAATAACACCTGAGTCCTCAGGAATGGCAACGCATGGGGGTATCATGGGCGAAACAGTATACTCTGTTATGTCCATGGTACTGCTCATGTCTATAGGTGACGGTTACCACTTCCCATCAGGTGGGCCGTCAGCTTGTTTACCATTCTAAGTTGTATAAAAAAAAACTTAAATGATATTAGTAAGCCATAATTATAACCAAACGAGGTTTTACAAGATAGCAGACATAGGAGATATTTAAAAAAAATAATATAAGATGTCTTAATAAGAGAAAAGCTAAAACATTAATTATTTGGAAAATTTGTCTCTATGTATGTTTGCCGCTAGTATAATGCAAAAGTTACTGCACCAATTTGGATGCGGTTTTCCCAGTTGTATTTCTGAAGGTACAAATTAAAATTTGGTGTATGTTTTATGTTATCTAGTACTGATCTATTTCATTGACTTTTGTTTTTTTTTTGCAACAAACGAGCACGCGACTCTCCTGATGGTAAATGACTACCGCTGCCCATGATCACTCACAACACCAGCGGCATTGCAGGTGTGCTGTCGGCCTTTTAAAAAGGACATAAGATTAGTAGGTGATATATATAAAATGTGTAGTCCATGCCTGTGCGTCAACATTGCAGTGCGTGGCGTGTCCGTGGCACAGGCAGCGTGCGGCCAGCGTGAGCGCGCGCACGGTGTAGTACCGGCGGTGCGCAGGCGCAGGGTGCGCGCTGCGGAACGACACGCGCACGCGACGCGCCCACACACCTTCGCCTATGCCGACGTGCATCTGTAATGGCATATAATTAAAATTTTTACTAATATTAAAAAAGGAAAAAGCGTTTGTTTGCTTATTGTTGTTTTTGTAATAATTAACATGACAAAGTGTATACAAATTTGATTATTGTAAAATTAAGTAGTAACTTAAAAAAATATATTCATATAATTTGCATGCTAAATATTAGCTAAATATGGAACTGTCTACTTATTAACTGAGAACTCTGTATCACATATTCAAAGCAAATAAAGTATTCTATTTTACTCTATTCTATAAATATAATAATATATTATTTATAAATTAAGAGACTTCATGCATGCAGTCGAATTTATTATTGCAAGGTACAAAGCAGTCAGGCAAATGCGCAGAACGACGAAACCAATTCATCGAGTTGACATGGACACACAAGGTCGCTAAATATTCATTTTTATTCGGATAGATAAAATAGCTAGATCGAATACTGCATCTTGCTGTAGGTCACCCCATACTACGCATGCTGATTTATTAGTCTACTTTCCAGAAACAGTCATGTTTATACTTTGTTTCGATATAAAGGGTGAAATATGGCAATGCAATTCCAAGGCATGGAAGTGTAATACTATAGTTCTCAAGAACGACAATGCCTTAGGGGTGCCATGGGTATCATGAGTATTCTGTGGTATCCATGGTGCTGTTCATGTCTATAGGCGACGATTGCTGCTTTCCATCATGTGGCCGTCAGTTTGTTTGCTAATTTATATTTCATAAAATAACGAAGTCGAGAAACTTACCTCTCCATTTTCAAGAGGTCTTGGACTAACGAACTGAGTTGAGCACGTCGGCTTATCAAACCTATTAGATCTCTTCGCGCCCCTGGCCTTCCGTCTTCGTCTCTCTGGTCTTAAGTCCCAAAGGCGGCGACAGTGTTCTTTGTCTCCAAACGCGCGTATCATCTGCCAGTCATCACCACCTTCAGACGTTGATACCTCGAGAGACCACGCAAGCGGGCGAGGTGATGGACCTGATTTTATTATAACGTGGAGCAATTCCATTTTCTGTAAAAAGCAAAACGAAACAGAGTAAGTAATGACGGTAATGAAATATGATGTCTTGTTGCATGTAAATGTTTCAGACTACTGTATATGGGGCAAAAAAGTCAACAAAAAAGAAACGGAGCTATTTTCAAGTGTTTTATCATATATTTTACTCTCTATATGATATAAAATTTTAAAACTATCTATTTCGCTATATGCTGTTTTGCAACATAAGTGTAAACCCAATAATGATCAGAGACTGACGACTAACAGGGAAGGTCACAGATCCTCTACTGAAAGTAATCAATCTTCAGCATTAAATGTTGGTAGTCGTACACTTATTAACAATAATGTAAATTAACTAACCAATGAAAATTATGTAAACAAAAGATGTAGCGACGAAGGTTTGCTTATAGCCAAAGATCCTGTCGCTGACTTCTGCAGGTATAAGACTTTTATGAAATGAGTTTTTTGGCTAAATGAGAACAGACATTGCGTGCATTGTAATATTTCACATCTTTCATTAAACTAAGTTTCATTAAAAAAATGTATACCTGCAGAAGTCAAAACCAGAGAGAGACTTTGTACAAAAGTAGTTTGCTTGGGCACCTCTGTAACATTCGTGTTACCACCGTGTATTTTGGTTTGAAGAGTGGAATATGGAAGTGAATTTACAGGGCACAGAGGAATAATACTTGAGTCCTCAGGAATGGCAACGCATGGGGAGTATCATGGGTCAAACAGTATACTCTGTTATGTTCATGGTACTGCTCATGTCTGTAGGCTACGGTTGCCACTTTCCCTCAGGTGGCCGCAGCTTTTTTACCATTCTAAGTTGCATAAAAAACAGTCAACTGCGAGATCTTAGGTTATTAACTTGGGTCTCAGTGTAGAGCTGGAAATATTGGCACGATCAGTGTAGTGATCCTCTGTCTAGTATTATATATCATTTGCATCACAAATATCGCTGATACTTAATATATCATTTGCAGTGAAACTCGTTTTTGAGATAATGCTTTTAAATATTACTTCAGCATTGTTATTAGTGTAATATACTTGTATGTACACATTGCTTCCACCAAGAAGAGCAGTTCAAACATTTTTTTAAGCAATCGTATGGAAGCGGAGAGTGAGCAAACAGTTAAAAGCAAACACCCAGATCCGTGGTATGATTTTCAAGTTGTTTGTCTTCCATTGGTGTAACAGAAAATACCTCAGAAGTGAAGAGACCAAGTTTCGAATACTGATAGGGGCTTAAAATACTTAACGTATTAATTTTAAATTTTAAAACAGATGATGTATATGATTTATTTATTGCTACAAAAGATTGACTCATCAGAATGAAATGACTCCACCCATGCTATTGATTTATACTAGAGAGGTATCAATGAGTGTTGATAGGTAAGGACGACGCCAAATCTATTGATCTACTGGGACGAGAATTTAAAAATTAACTATGATGGTTTCTTGGGAAATCACTTAAAAGTCGACCTGTTTGAAAATAATAATATTACTAGCAATAAAGCTATTAGTTCCCAAGCATCTTGCTTGTAAACTGTTTCATTTGAAAGGTACGATACGATAATAAAATAGTTTTCGATTATGTCCCCAGATATACGTCGTCTGGTCCTTCATAACATAAAGTATGCAGTTTAAGAATCAGAAAATTGGTATTTGTGAAAAAAAAAAACTTTTTGCTTGACAATATGATATACATATTTATCACTTTTCTTATATAAAAAGTAATTGTCAAAATAGTATGGCTTTGGCCAAAACAGAATATCAGTGTTTTGCTCTTTTGAGAGTAATGAAATGTGTAGTGACCATTTTATGTTACTGCATATGCATTCAATAAAAAATTATGTTACTTCTTTTATGTACGAGTATATTCCTTTTGCTTTTTTCTTTTTATATCTCTTTTTGCGTATGTATCTATATTGGTTGTTATTTAAGTGCTGTAAGTAATGCAAACAAATTATATATCTATCTAGTACCTATAAAAATTTAACACGTTTCTTCTAACTCTCATACTGCCTAATTAAAAACATAAAGATACACGCAGCGTTATCGTTAATGTACGGGGAACGAAATCTATGAGATCTCTCACACCTCTAAAAGTAAATGTGTAGACAAACAAGGTGGAAACAAATACGCATTGTGGCCGTCTTGATTTATACGCTCCAAGCAGATGTCGTGTCTCCCACATTAACGCAATTATCTGCGCCGGAACACGTGTGAATAGGAAATGACTTATTTAGATGTTTAGACCCATTCCAGAATTCGAAGAAAACTTTTGTCAATAAAGTGCGGAAATTGTTTTAAATTAAAGAATTACATAAGATGATAACGAATTTAAAATAACCAAAGTAGAATGAAACTAGTACAGAATAATGGCGTGAATTTACTGGGTACAGAGGAATAACACCGGAGTCCTCAGGAATGGCAACGCATGGGGGGTATCGTGGGCGAAACAGTATACTCTGTTATGTCCATGGTATTACTCGTGTCTATAGGCGACGGTTACCACTTTCCATCAGGTGGGCCGTCAGCTTGTTTGCCATTCTAAGTTGTATAAAAAAAAGTCTGAAAGTTAATAAGGAAGAAAGTACATTAACCTGTCATGTTCAAGAAAAATCGCATGCTGTCTGAAGGAAATAGAATAAAATTGACAGACAAAAATGGTTCTAACTATGAAAACTAGGAAATTCAGCATTGACCATAGGATTATCCATTGACAATGACACTAGAATAAACAATGATTCAGATACACAACAAACATATCTAAAAACATATTGATAATTTTCTATCTAATCATTATACGACATACATACGCTGATATTACACCTGTCACTGTGTAATACAAATGAAAACATTTGCTCATATTTAACATATCATTAGAGTATTAATTTTTATAACCATTTCAAAGGTACATATAAACATTTATGAGGTAAATATTTAAAAATTAATTCAATTATCATGGCTTAGTGTTTTTTTTTATTATTTGTATACAACTTAGAATGGCAAACAAGCTGACGGCCCGCCTGATGGAAAGTGGTAACCGTCGCCTATAGACATGAGTAGTACCATGAACATGACAGAATATACTGTTTCGCCCATGATACCCCTCCCCCCATGCATTGCCATTCCTGAGGACTCAGGTGTTATTCCTCTGTACCCAGTAAACTCACGCCATATCCCACCTTATAAACCGAAACACAGCCATGCAAACACAACTGCTTCACGGTTGAAACACGAATGGGACAGAGGTACGCAAGCAATCGACTTTTATACAAAGTCTCCCTCTGATTAAGTAGAGTCATTTAAAAAATTAATTTATAAATTCGTATCTCGCTGACACTAACAGTAAAGAATATATTAACTTTAAATGACTCACTAAATTGAGATAAATTATAGTTAAACACGCCTCCAGCAATCGGAAAGTAAATTAAAACCACTGACATAAAGGGAATATATTAGCTGTAAGTATGGCTTTGTCCACGTGAATTAGAATTTATTAATTTAGCCGTTAACTGTCCACTGCTGAACATAAGCCTTCCCCATAAGGAGAGTTTTGACAGTAGTTGCCACGCTTGGCAGGCGGGTCGTAAACCACAATTAGGATTTGATGTTTTAAGAAAGACGCTGCTGCCAATCAATCAACTACTCGTATTAAGTTCTCTCAGTTGTCTCTTACGACATCCACAGGAAAGGAAGGGCTAATCCAATCTATACCGGGACCACACGGCAAACTTTTTACAGCCTAAATGGTCGCGTACAACGCGGTTTCAGAGATGCTTTCTCCTACGAACACTCAGGTTATGAAATGAGCTCCCTGCCGAGGTTTTCCCAAGAGACTACAGCACGGAGTTCTTCAAAAGGGGGGTAAAGAGGTTTCTTGAGGGTCGCAACGCGCGCGTAATACCTCTGGTATTGCAGGCGTTCATAGGCTACGGTAACCGCTTACAATCAGGTGGGCGTATGCTTGTTTGCCACCTCAGTAGTATAAAAAAAAAAACTATTATTTTCCGTATTATTTCCATATTAATTTTATTATAATTGAGTAAAATCTACCTGTTTGTATGATTACAGTTATGAATTATAATTTGGGATCGGTGTAATATGTTGAGCGTCATTGTCGTCTTATGGGTTCTCATGTTAAGAAAAAAGAGCCACGTCATGAGTTATCATCTTATGAGCTTTATTTCTTTTAAAATTGAAATAAAGAGATTACTAAGAATTAATTTTAATTTTGTCATAATCGAAACCATTGCTTTTTTGTGAAACGAAATTTATTCGTTAAGTACATTTTTTATTTTCTTAATCACCTGTTATAGCATAGCTCTTTCTTTTTAGCTAACTTTACCAAACACACTTAAGGAAATAAGAAAACATTTAAATAATCTATTCAGAGTGCGATCAAAACTATGCTGTGGCAGGTTCCAATTAGACCGAGGAATGCGCTGGTCGCCTTACGTCCAGTCACGAGAGGTGCTAACAACGAGCTCTACATATCGGATTCAGATTAATTGGTATTGGATGGCGAGAAAACATTACTATTTCAGTAACAAGCTGTAAAAGATAACATAAATAAGTACACAAACAACAAGTGATCGTTAAAAATATTTTACTGAACAAATTATTAAGAATTCAAGTTGTCTAAAATAAACAAATAAATAAAAAAATATTTTGCGGAGGAGATTATCCATGTAAATTCATCATCATATCAGCCTGAACATAAGCTTCCATCTAGAGGGATTTTGCCAGAAGTTGATTGGCAACCGCAGTTAGGCTTTGAAGATGTTTTAAGAGGGATGCTACTGTCAATTCCTCGTCTTCCCTTAGTCGCCCCTTACTTACAGAGAAAGGAAGTGTTTACCCATTCTATGCCAGGACCGCACAGTTTATAAGTAACACATAAGTTAGTTCATGATAATAACTTTTTTACGCTAACGTTAGCATGTAAGCATCTTCAAGTATTGGAGAGATATGTGAAGATTGACTATTATTATTATTATTACCAGAAGTACTACAATCTTCCATATTAACCATCAATTTCCGACTGCTGTTAAATCCACGCACGTTTTGCGACACGTATTTCACCTCCAAACGAGTCATCTTCAGGCAAATTAATAGATCGCTGTTCGAAGCCGAGTGTTAACAGTTCGGCGTCAAAACTGCGAACGACTATATTTAAAAATGCCAAATGATCCATTTTAATAGCCTTAGAGCTTAAGGGGGAACATTTAAGTTACTACTTATTAACTAAAATTCTTCAATCCACTTAGATAGAAAGACATGTTTTGTTATTCTCGCCAAAAAATTTTAGTGTTAAACTTAGGAAAATAAAAAAGAAATCATTAGGTAAGTAAACTGGGCATCATTCGTGCAATAACATATAATCATAAAGGCATTTTGATGCGTTTTTGATAAGTGAATATGTATAGTTTTTAGTTTTCATTTAACATATACAGCTCACTTTATGAGGTTTTCAGACCTACATCGACAATTGCACTGACTTCTTGACTCAATGCTGGTAAATACGCATTCATAATTAGAATTCCTATTGACATTATTTATCCATTCTCTGTTAACTCTCTTTCTTTTATTAATTAAGTATAAGTCTACATTAAGATTTAAAAACATTTCTTTTTGCCTGCCTTTTTGATTGCCAGCAATGTAAGAAAAAAAATTACTATTCCCTTCTTTCTATTAAATCCTTCAAGCGTAATGGAGTTGCGTAAGTTGATATCTCAACGTATACCCATGATATTCGAATTTAAACTATCTTTATGCAAGTGCATACATTATGTTCTCCTATTCTCCACATCAGTAGTTATACTATTAAATGCAGTTTTACTTGCACTTAAATTTTTATGTGCATTTAGTTTAAATAATCTTTATATGCATAAAATAATTACACTAACGACATTATGGGTTTACTGCATTTTTTCACGATACAACAATATTACGTAGTGCATTCCGCTTTAACAGAGTTGCTCGATGGGGTCTTACCCGTATACGGCGCAACTAATGAGAACGCGTGAGCGAGACTCTTTTTGTTTTTACATTGTCAGTTTATTGGATAATAGGAAATAAGTATCCCCAATTAGGTCTAAGAACAGAAATAATTTCCTGCCCTTAAATTTTTGTATTAATTCATCAGCTATAAGGTACGGTATCTTCAGATATGTTTGTTATCTAGATACGAACGTATTTACACATAACGCTATGCATACATCAAGCAAAATCATATATTTTCCGACAATGTAGATACAGTTTAAGCACATAAAAAATATAAGCCAAAACAAAGTGTGCATATAAAGAGCACACAAACAAAACCCGCAGCCGAGATCTATCCTCGGAAGTCACAGCTATCAGCGTCGCGATATCTTATCAAACAGTACCCATACGATAACAGTTAGTTGTTCGCGAGATGTGATACCGGCTAGACATTGTTAAGACAATGTCTAAAAACGAGATCCCGCTATCCGCTAAATCCCTTTCTGATGTCCGGGTTGAGGTGTTGACACACAAGCCAAAACATAACCATGGCTCGAGCACGCCAGAAAAAGATAAAAGAAGAATAGCGGAAGTGTCAAGCAGTAGTGGTAATTATGTGTATGTGAACACAGCTTACGTTGGAAGTTTAAACAATCTTACAACAAGAAGCGATCGGATTGATAGATTACCGGAGCCGCCGACAAGGTTGGTATTATTTCGTCGTTGAAGCCTTCTTTTAGAACTATAGACGTTAGTAGACATGCGAACTGATAGTAAGCAGTTGTTCTAGCCCATGGATACCTGCAATATTGGGAGTATCACAGTAGAGCATCGTTTTTTAACCGGGGAGTCAAGTTTGTTATTAAAGGGGCTCGCAGTTTTTTGAAAAATAATAAGACCTCGAAAGATTTGTTTAACGTAGCGATGCTCGACTTTACTAATCCGACTATTAATTATTCTACTGAGCAATTCATTTGGATTATTCGAATGATTTTCAAATCATTCGACTACTAATTTCATTTACTATACGCTTCTATTACTAGCTCTTTTTTGGTCGTCTCTTGTTATCACTTAACGTGAAGGTAGTAGTGTGGTAGTAGTGGATATAGGGAACGAACTTTGTTTTCATCATTCTGGTCGATTAAGAATTAGGGAAATCAATCGAATACGGGGTTGCAACACTTTTTGGATTTTTCGTGGATCACACATAAAAATGGTTGAGAAACAATGCTGTAGAGCAGGGATGTCCAAACTAGATAGGATCTAGGGCCAATAAAAATGACTAACATCATTGGGGGGATGCAAAATATTTGTAAAAACCAAAATGCAGCTTATAATATCATTATTTTGTTATTGTATTACTTTTTTTAATAATTTATCTTTTACAATTCTGTCAACATCAACATCAATATTGGTAGTGGCTAGAAAAGATTTGGTGGGCAGTGTCAATTCAAGCTACGGGCTGCATGTTGCCCACGGGCCATGGTTTGGACAGCTCTGCTGTAGAGCAATCTCTATTCTACTGTAGTTCCGAATATGAGGCAAAATATGTCAAAATTCCGGAGTCGTTATTAGATAGTATTTCTTTATTTTTGTCTTAATCACTAACATTCTTATATCTCCTCTTATTTTTTTTTTATTAACGTCGTAATAAATATTGTTAAATATCATTTACTGTCCACTGCTGGACATACGCCTTCCTCAATTTGGGAATTTTGCCAGTAGTTGCCACGCTTGGCAGGCGGATTGGCAACCGCAGTTCGGCTTTAGAGATGTTTTAAGAGGAACGCCATCCCTCGTTCTCTCTTAGTCGCCTCTTAAGACAACCACGGAAAAGGAAGGGGTGGCCTATTCTATGCCGGGACCACACGGCGATGCCGGAACCGACACGGCGTTATATTAATGTAACACTGCTGATAATATATTATTATTAAACTAATTTGATTTAAGATGTACTTGAATTCTACAATCTAAAACCTTCATAAAAATAATCTACAGGAATTTCCTTGTTATTTTACCTATTTCAAATTTTTTTGTATTATTTAGATATGGATGTACTGCTTTATTATAACAATTAATTATATATATACATATATACATATATATATATATATATATATATATATATATATATATATATATATATATATATATATATATATATATATATATATATAAATTTTCATTTTCTTGTACATTATTAATTACAATAGACCGACATAGCCCAAAGGATAAGCAAGCTGTAGTGGCAATGGGCTGGTCACATAGCTCGAAGAACCGACAATCGACGGGGAAGAAACGTTCTCGAGTGGCGACCTCGTACGTGCAAACGCAATGTAGGACGACCCCCCACTAAATGGAGTGACAACCTCAAATGCAATGCAGGCAGTCAGTGGATGCAGGTGGCTCAGAACCGTATCTTATGGCGGTCTATGGGGGAGGCTTATGTCCAGCAGTGGACAGTTAGTGGCTAAAATGATGAGGATGATTGACTACAAAAATCAATTTTTTTTTTACACAACTTAGAATGGCAAACAAGCTGACGGCCCACCTGATGGAAAGTGGTAATCGTCGCCTATAGACATGAGTAGTACCATGGACATAGCAGAGTATACTGTTTCGTCCATGATACCCCCCATGCGTTCCCATTCCTGAGGACTCAGGTGTTATTCCCCTGTACCCTGTAAATTCACGCCATATCCCACCCTTCAAACCGAATGCACAGCTATGCAAACACAACTGCTTCACGGTTGAAACACGAATGGGACAGAGGTACCCATGCATTTATTTCTTAAGCACTCTAATTGCGCATTTTGGATCGTTTTGATATTAATGACGTAAATCCAAGTATTGTGCTGAAAGTAGTAGCTAGGAGTATACTTCAAAAACTTTATATTATTATTTATTTATTTATTTATTATTTCTACCATACCTTTTCTAATCTTTCTAAAATATATAATAGATAAATATGAATTATCAGTCGCAGCCATCTTTGAAATGACAGTAAATATAAAAATAGTTTTTAATTTCATTTTTACAATTGATTTTTAGGTAGATATTGCCTCGGAGTCTTTTTCTTTTGAAAATTATATGGTTTCATTCTAGTTTACCGAGACTTTTCTTGAGTATTTCATAATAAAAAAGTAGCCTATACCGAATACTAGATATACACCAAGTTTCATGAAAATTTGTTACAAGAAGTAAAAAGCCACTTATAAATATTAGTAAAGATACGGTTTAATATTATATATATATTCTTTATTACACTAAAACATACAGTAACAACAATAAGTTAATAACAATGTTAGCAAAGGCGAATTTTTTTTTATACCACTGAGGTGGCAAACAAGCATACGGCCCACCTGATGGTAAGTGGTTACCGTAGCCTATGAACATATGCAATACCAGAGGCATTACGCGTGCATTGCCGACCCTGAAGAAACCTCTTTACACCCCTTTTGAAGAACCCCGTGCTGTAGTCTCTTGGGAAAACCTCGGCAGGGAGCTCATTCCACAACCTGAGTGTTCGTGGGAGGAAACATCTCTGAAACCACGCAACTTATCTCTAAAAGAAATTTCTTCCAGTCAACCTAACACAGTGGCATAGGAAGTAGTGAGTGGGCAGTAGTGGTGCTAAACAGAAGTTAGAATAAATAATTACATACAAAATAAGTCTAAAAATATTGTCGTTGAATTAAAATACGTTAATCATCGTCTCATTAGTACTACGAATGAAGTCGACAAACGTATTGTTAATGAAATAACCTCAATTAATAACCAAGTCACAGAACTCGCATGAGTCATTATTTCATCTTGATCATACGTGATGATTAGCAAAAAATAAATACAACACGAAAATAAAATTAATCAGATTATAGCGTGGCTATTTTTTGGAACTGTCTAATTCCTCTTCGAAAAGTAGGTGCTTTACTATACGATATCTGACAGATAGCATATCTGCGGCATTAAACATGATAATATTATCAATTTATACAAAATATTTAATTGCAGAATATTCATGTGTGACTTTGTAAATTGTAACAATATAAAAGTGTAAATATTTTATTGAAGAATTGAAACCTCCAACAGTACTTTAAAACACATCCCTTAAATATTCGAAACGATTAAGTTAATTAATGAAATAATAATCTATGTCATCGTCAACATTAGAAGCCTATCCTTTATGCACGTCTTCCCATCATTTATGGGATTACCATCCCATACCCACATCAATAAACTGCAAGTTTAAATGTAAGTGCGAGCACAAACACTTTTGTGGTCGTCGATTTACTTACGATTTTATCCATTTCGAGGCTAGGTCGCCATTTATGAAAGCTTTGACCATATCGTTTAAGACTTCCTCGAGTTTTATAGAGTCAATCAAAGTTTTATCAAGAAAATTACAGCTTTTATTTCTGAACTATATAGGTATTTTTAGTTTTATCTTCGGACACCGTAGTTTTTGGTTCTCTCCAGTACTAGTTCGAGAATAGCTTTATTCATTGCGTGAGCTACTTAGAGAAATTGTAGGACCAATAATAATAAATACTTCATAATTACACCAATCGACTATTATTAAAGGCTGTATACCCTGCCTTATAAGGAACTAGGCAATGAATCTCTGGGTCACAATATCCAAAATACCCAAATCCTAGGCAATTCAGAAAAGCTCGTTTCCTAAGTAGACCAGACTGGGAATCGAATCAATATCTTATTTGCTTAAAGCAATAGTCTTTATAATATTCCTTTTTATTATTTCAGTGTGGTCCGCGAGCAATACTGGGCATGCTCAAAATGGCCTTTTGGTCAGCGCATGCTTGCAATCGCCGTGGGAGTGCTGCTCGGAACAGTGATAGCATTATCCTGTATCGTCGGATTGAACAATCGGGACGTCGTGGACAACCTACTACCGGGACTTCTGAGATCGAATCCTGAGAAATGAGTTTTGGCTTCTTGAAGTTACTTAAAACTGGATTCAACATTTTGTCGTAAGATTTTATGACTGTACACCTATATTTGTCAGTATTCAAAATGTAAACTGGCAAATAAAGAGTTATACTCCAATAGACTAAGGTTTGGTGTTACTAAACCATTTTAACATTTTGAAGCTATTTCAAAACTGGACTCAAAATGTCATCCAAGGTTTTAATGACTTGATACTTATATTTGTTAGTTAACAAAGTAAAACTGACAAACAAATGTAATGGAGTTACATTCCACTCATCTAAGGCTTAGTAATATTAAGTCAGTCTTATTATATTCTCTAATATTAAGACAAATATTCTGACTGAATTACCTATTATTACCAGTACAGCAGATTATTACCATTGTATTGGAAATAAAAGAATTTTGGACGCAAGTTCTATATGTGATTCATATGTGATCTAGGCATCCATTAAACATGTATCTATTGACACAATAATTCTTACTAGAAATTGTTTTAAAAGAAAAAAGTAGGATTACAAATACTGACCAAATAGTTTAGATCATGTATTGGCCTATTTGGCCCCCAAAGATTTGCCAATGATGATCTCTTATCTGCATAGAAAAGCATTTTGGTAATGCTTACGAGAATAGTAGAAATCAAGTTTCGCTAAAGATTGCTTGTATTTTTCGAGTAAAAGATCTTTTGGCTTGAATATTAATATCTTCCAATAGTTTGATCTTACATTTAGACGATGCCCATCCAATGCTTGTCTTGGTATACTTCTGCAATTGTGATTAGGTTAATAGTAAGAGAAAACATAGCAGTATTAAAATAAGGACAAAATAGAGTGAGTGTGTGAAATATTGGAATGGGTGACTAAGTGTGAGCATTTTAAAGATCCCAACTGTATATAGGTTTAGGTTGAATAGATTAAATCAGAACATTATGTTAATATTTAATATTCTAATTAAAAAAAAAAGAACCTTTCAAATATTGCTTTTGTATAATTAATAATTTTTTGTAATTAAATTTCTTTTAATTACCGAATATTAATGAATTAGTTCCTTCATTTCCGTAAGACGTATATCAAACTTTGAAGTTTTCAATTCGGTAGTATTTTTAAGTCACCCATATGAGTACATGATAATGAATTTTTTTGAAATAATTTAATTATAAACAGTAGGATAATTATCTTATTAATATAATAAAATTGTAACTGAAAGACGTCTGTACGTGCGAGATATTTAAGAAAAAATAATATGAGCGGTCTTAATAAGATCAACAGATGTCAATACAATATTTTTTAGAAATTTTGGCTGTCTATTTGCACATTTGTTCGAATATGACGCAAAAACTACTATATCAAATTAGATGCGGATTTAACAGTTGTATTTCTGAAGGTCTAACTTAAAATTGGTGTATGTTTAATTGTGATACGCTCATCTAGTGATAATTTATTTTTATTTATTTATTTAAACTTTAATGCACAGTAAAATTCTATGTACATATGGCAGACTTAACACTGGACGGTGTTCTCTACCAGTCAACCATTGGGCAAACCGAGAAATACGTAGACGGTATATATATATATATATATATATATATATATATATATATATATATATATATATATATATATATATATATATATATATATATCTTTGTATATATTTGTTTATATATAATAGTGCGCCACCTACCCTTTGTATTTCTTTCTTTTCTCAATGTTCTCTACCCAAAGGTTGTCTGGAAGAGATTGCTTAGCGATAAGGGCGCCTTTTGTATCACTTCTTATTACAGTTAAATGTATTTACTTTTTTATAAATGGTGCAATAAAGTGTAAATAGATAAATAATCTATTTAAATGGTTTTCCTATATCTGAAATCCGAGTGTACAGAGTAGAAGACAAACATATAGTTAGATAATTAAAGTAAGGATTAGTAATAAGCTTACTTTTTGACATTATACCGTCCTATTCTTCTTATTAAGTTAATTATTATTAAAAAATATGATTGAACAATTTTTTTTAATTAAAAAGTTTTTCGTCTTCGAAAAGCATCGTTTTATTTCCTTGATTTTATTAACTTTTTAATAAATAATATATTGAGGAGCTAATAATAATAAATAATTATATATTCTTTGTATTTGTTGTTTTAGTATCTAGTAAAATAATAACATGTTATTTAACATGTTAAATATATATATATTATTATATATACATTTGTATATAATATATATTAAATATATTCATATATTTTACCACACTTTCATATTTTGTCTCATATCTTTTAAAATCAAAAGATAAGCTTTTTTTTTTTTTTAATATTTTAAGGGCTTTTACCTTCTTCAGGTATATCAGTCCTATTGTACCCTGAACTGATTTCTCCAACAAAGATGAACAAATTAAACAAAACAAGTGCTGAATTTCTTACTCTATTAGTCATAGATTTACAGTCGTTCTGTTTATTTTTTCTTTTAAAACAAATGTATATGTTACAAATTATTATTATTATTCATTATTTAATGGTGCATTTTTATCTTTGGTTTGTTAATATATAAATAAATGAAGTCTGTTAAGAAGGAGAATATATATCTAGTAAAGAATAAAAGTTGACTTAAGCTGTGACGCTGATGTTTTTATCATAATGACGTGCCGACGTGACGTGGGTGAGAGTCAGTGAAGCAATTTGTGATATCGTATAGTTAATTTATTTAATAATTAAATGTACTGTAATAAATAAATATACTGTATAGTAATTTACGACACTGTATTTTTGTTTTATTACCAGCAAATCTTCTTAACCGTGTGGTCCCTGCATATACGTAATCGACTACCCTTTCCTTTCCCGTGGGTGTCGTAAGAGGCGACTAAGGGAGAACGAGGCATGGGCAGCAGCATCCCTGTTAAAACATCTCCAGACCTAAACTGCGGTTGCCAATCCGCCTGCCAAGAGTGGCAACTACTGGCACCCCCAAGAGAGAGGCTTATGTTCAGCAGTGGACAGTTAGAAGCTGATATGATGCCGATTATGAAATCTTTGGGGTGAGAGCCAAATGTTATAAAAATGGATGAGTAAAAAAATATATTTATACTCCCCTGCGGGCAGATGTCGTTCAACTGTCACGTGACCGCTGACTGGCTGGTTTGTAGCGTTCATAATATGAATAACTTGCTAAGTTCAATTTACGCCGTAATCTGCCTGGAAATAAGAGTTCATAATACGACCCCTGGATATATTGTTTATCACAATTCAAAATAGTGTAATAAATAAAATTCTTTGTACAGACATGCATATTTAATTTTTTTTTTTTCTAGTTACACAACTTATATGTTATAGGTACGAAAAACAAATTAATAACAAAAAATTTTACCATAGAGAATCTCATATCTATATATATAAAAATTTATGCCACTTTTCGTTGTATTTTTATTTTATTTTTTTACAACACAGGGGGCAAACGAGCATGCGGCTCACCTGATGGTAAGTGACTACCGCCGCCCATGGGCACCCACAACACCTACGACATTGCAGGTGTGCTGCCGGCCTTTTAAAAAGGAATATGCTCTTTTCTTGAAGGTCATGTTGTCGTATCGGTTTAGAAATACTGCTGCTGGAAGTTGATTCCAAAGAGTGGTTGTGCGTGGGAGAAAGTGCCTTGAAAAACGCACGGTGGAGGACCGCCACTCGTCCAGATAGTTGGGATGAAATTTTAGTTTATGGCGGGTTATACGATAGTGAAAATCAACAGCAGGTATCAATCTGAACAATTCCTCAGAGCACTCGCCATAATAAATTCGGTAGAAGATGCACAGAGATGCAACATCTCTACGCAGTTTCAGTGGGTCAAGCCGGACAGTAAGACGCCGATCGTCAACGATTCGAGCTGCCCGACTTTGAATGCGGTCTAACGGAAGGAGTTGGTACTGTGGCGCTCCTGCCCATAGGTGAGAACAGTATTCCATGTGTGGCCTCACTTGAGCTTTATACAGTTTCAGGCGGTGTTACCTAATTTAATATTAGAATTAAAATACGATCATTTATCAAGCGCTCAATTAATACGGTAATATGATAGAATACTAATAATGCATCGTCATCGTTAAGCTACAATTTTAAAGCACAATGAATTCTATTTTTAAATCCATTAAGTTTAGATTACAGCGTATTGCTATTAAGATGTCCTGATAATTAAAAAAACATTTTTTATCACATGTATCAGCATTTTATCTTCTTTGGGACTATAATATTTATTGTACTATTTTTTTTTGCGATAATTTTTTTATTTATTTAATTATCAATTAATTTATATCATAATAAAGTTATTTCAACCTTTGTTTTTTTTATGGAATGCATGGAAGCATTTCTTTTTTAATGGAATGGTAATCCTACCCGTGCTATCGGTGAGGATGAAGCAGGTCAGTTAGCCCATCGTGTCGAATTCAACAAGATTGTTCACGATGGTTTCCAAAGGAAACCACGAACAGGTCGACCTAACAGGTCATTCTGCTAGCAATGGGGCTATCAAACTACATTGCTAACAATCCCTTCCCCTCCGACCTTCCATATTAGCTATCAATCTCCGAACGTTATACAGTCCACACATATGTTGCAACATATGTATGGACTTTGTGTTATGTGTGTTATATGTGTATACACAATAATTTTTAGACATAATAATTTTTAATTAAAATATAAATTAAATTAAATAAGTAAAAATATTTGCATAAATTCTTATTGATTATCATTATATCAGTGATAATCAATATGTGGTTATAAAGCAATCATGTAAATAATGAATTGCATTGTTTGTATGAAGTGTTGAAACTAATGACGTACATACAAACATCGCAGAGATAAAGAAATAAATATATCCTGCATTATAGAGTGCGTAACTTGATTTTTATTAATAGATAGATAGATACTCTTTTTATGTTTCCCCCCATAAGAATACAATAGTAAATTTATTGTCATTTATTCAACTCATTTATTGCACCAGAAACAATTTTTTTTTATGTAACTTAGAATGGCAAACAAGCTGATGGCCCACCTGATTGAAAGTAATAACTGTTGCCTATACACATGAGCAGTACCATGGACATAACAGAGTATACTGTTTCGCCCATGATACCCCCCATGCGTTGCCATTCCTGAGGACTCTGGTGTTATTCCTCTGTACCCAGTAAACTCACGCCATATCCCACCCTTCAAACTGAAACACAGCCATGCAAACACAACTGCTTCACGGTAGATAATGTGAGTTTGAATTTATTATAAATTAAATAACGAGTACATGATAATATTACTAATTATAGTTATATAGATACAGATTATGTTATATCCGTAATAGTATATAATTATGTACAATAATTAACTTGATATTCAATACATAAAGCCGTCTGAAGGCGGATGTTTATCATAATTAACATTATTTATCTATTTTTACGCTACTGAAACAGCACACAAGATGTCCATCGGGCATTTGGAAAATATTACCAATACCTTTTTTTTTTATACAACTTAGAATGGCAAACAAGCTGACGGCCCACCTGATCGAAAGTGGTAACCGTCGCCTATACACATGAGCAGTATTATGGACATAACAGAGTATACTGTTTCGCCCATGATACCCCCCATGCGTTGCCATTCCCGAGGCGTTGCGTTCCATTCATGTTATTCCTCTGTACCTTGTAAATTCACTCCATATCCCACCCTTCAAACCGAAACACAGCAATGCAAACACAACTGCTTCATGGTTGAAACACGAATGGGACAGAGGTAGCCAAGCAATCGAGCAATTTGTAATAAAATAATTGTAAGTAGGCGATGTTTACATGGGAGATATTTAAGAAAAATTGATAAGGCGCGGGCGTGCGTGCGTGCGTGCGTGCGTGCGTGCGTGCGTGCGTGCGTGCGTGCGTGTGTGTGTATATGTATATGAGAACTTGAGTATGCAACTGATTTGTAGAGTCAAATCAATGGGTAACTATACAAAGATATATAAAAATGAATAATAATTTAAATTAAAATGACTGTTTGTTTGTAATAGACCAAACTTATAAATTACTCAATCGATTTTAAAAATTCTTTCATTTATAGAAAGCTATATTATAAGCGAGAAACATAGGCTATATGTATATTATTTTCGAAAATTATATCTACTTAGGCGAAGCCTAGATTATATATCTACAGTCTTCTAAATTTCTATACCTTAATACGAAACCTGTTTTTATGACACATAATTACCTTATTTTTAAGAGCATAATAGAAGGAAAGATACAGGGCGAAAGAGGAAGAGGAAGACCGAGGATTAACTACATGGGACAGATAAAGGAAACACTAGGCGTCATGTCGTATAGGGAGATAAAGGATATGGCCTGGGATAGAGCTGGCTGGAAGAAGATGCATGAATTAGTTGCACCGACAAGAGGAAACTCTTAAATGAAAATGAATGAATTACCTTATTGTACTTAATATATTTTGGAAGGTAGCTACCAATATCTTTGTTATTATAAAATAAAAAAAAATACTGAACCTAATGTCAAAATGTTAACAGACATTTAAAAGAGTAACTGTTGAGTTTCTTGCGGACTCTTCTCAACAGATAACAACTTTCCGAATCCTGAAGTAGATTTAAAAGGAAATATTTTTTTTTACAACGCAGGGGGCAAACGAGCATGCGGCTCACCTGATGGTAAGTGACTACTTAGTATAAAGAGAGATTATCACACCCATAATGTTTGCTTTTACGATAAGCCTATAGAAGATAAGCGTGGAGAGGCGAAACGCTCCGAAATATCTCCGTTTGTCGTATACTAACTACAACTGTGATACTACTGTTTCTTTCTAACTGATAACGATTAATGTATCTTATCAATTTATCAAAGATAGGATTAAAATTGTAATCCACAAACAAAACGTCGGTTGACTTGTGCAGCAAAAGGGATGAGGTAATGAAAGTATGGTCATAAAAATAGACATTTTTTAATGGGTGATATTTTTTTTATTGAATAAAAATGGAATGGTAACCCCGCCTGCGCTAACGGGATACGCTGGCGGGGCACCAGTGAATGGTGATCGATGAGGATGAAAACAGGCCTAACTGGCCCATCATGATGAATCCATCTGGAATTAATCATGATAGTTTCCAGGAGGAACGGCGAGGAGGTCGACCTGGTTGGGTATATTGCTAGCAATGGGATTCTCAGTCTCCATTACTAACAATCCCTTTCCCCCTAATGGGTGATATTGGAATGGTAAGCCCGCCTATGCTATCGGTATACGCTGGCGGGGCACCAGTGATAGGTGATGAGGATGAAGATGAAAGCAGGTCAGTTGGAAAATTTCTTTGTGAAAATTTCATAAAGCAATAAACATGATGGTTGATGGAAGCAGGTTAGTTAGCCCATCGTGATGAATTAAATAAGAATCAACCACGATGGTTTCCAGAGGGAACCGCGAGGAGGTTGACCTGAAAGGGTATCTTGCCAGCAATGGGGATCGAACTCATTAGTCAAAAACCCTTTCCCCCCTATGAAAGTATGGTTATAAAAGTCGAGCATGTGCTTTATGAATGCGACTATGCCGGCAAATTGATAATAACTAGGGGGGAGAAGGGATTGTTAGTAATAGGACTAGTCGTTTCATTACTAGCAATATAGTCTATCAGGTCGACTTCCACGCTAGTCCCCCTAAAATCCAGCGAGACCTATTCTTTACGTATTTATCACGATGGGTCAACTGAGCTGCTTTCATACTCACAGTT